GATTCTTTTGTGTTTAATTGGGTTTTCAGTGTTTGGTCTGACAATAACTGGGCCATCTTTTAACCACAGTGCGCGGGATCCGAAAAGTTGAAAAAGGTCTACCCTCCCTCCATGAAGTTTGCCGAAAAACTTGATTTCTCAGATCTTACACTAAACATGCTTACTAGATATAGTGTGAGCCGCTGAAATGAGTGGTTTTGAAATGAATGAAACCGCAAGTATCTATCTTGTCAAAAGAATAAAATCCTCTATATTTATAAAGCTCTAACTTTGCGTGTCTGTTTGTATGCCCGTTTGTGTGTCTTCCCATAAGTCTCGTAGGCACGATCAAAAGCGTGAAGGTCACAAGAGACCAGTCATGAAATGGAAAGTCAACCGATGCTCTTTTTATCGGTCCGTTGATTAATATCCAGTCTATTTATGACGTCCCAGACTAAAAATCACACCTCGCCCCCCACGACGCAGGACAATCAAACCCCCTAGGAACTAGAGGAGGTTAGAATGGAAACAACCCCACGATCACCTACTAGTGTCAAGAGATCAGTACCCATAAAGAGGCATCAAATCGTTCAAATTGATGAATATCACCTGATCCTTATGCACCAGACGTTCTTCTGGCTATTTACCGTCGTGCTACATCCCTATACTATGAACGATTCATCTATCCGCTTGCAGCCAACTGAGGGAGGAGAGAGGTTAGGCTTCAAAGACAAACTCACGAAGAATTTTTACTGAAAATACCTTCGGCGTCTAATGTATTTTCCAGAATAAACGCGTAATTTTCCATCCTACTTACTATAAAGCGCCTTGTCTATCGCCCTGTAGTCTGTCGTCTGTCGTTATTTATGTCTGTGACGAGATTCCTCAACTCCTTTAGATCTGCCTGGAGAGACCGGGTCAAGCACAGGGTGTGTGAGCCATATGCCGAGAAGTATAAAGTGCGCATTAGCTTGGCGGAGCCCCGCCCACAATGGGCGTGTTGTGCTTCGAAATGAGCTGTACTGAGGACCATGATCAAATTCACTCTTAAGACGGCTTCAAGATTGGGGCGTAAAGGTGGCTAGAGGTGTGCATTGGTAAGTTAGATCGAACTAGGGAGATCCACCCCCGAGGGCGTTTTCCGAAACTACAATGCTTTATGAAAACATTTATAACACGGTTTGAAGAAAGCCAACAGAGCAGAATTAGTTGGGAAGCAGAGGGAAGCATTGTCGAAGATGTCTTCAGCATGAATGACGTCAGCGGAGGCCCGCTCACAATGTGTGGAGCGTGGCTCGAAGCTCACGTCGTTTTTTACAAGTCAGTATAATTTAGTTTCGAGAGGCCATGAAAAGCTGGAAAAAGGTGAATAGAAGTCGGAGAAGATGGGGAGGCTGACTGCCA